GCACAAGTTTCAGTAGCAGAGGGAGACATTAATCCTAACACAAATCAATTACTGTACAAACTTTACATGTGATTACTGTACCATTAGTGGTGCTATTTGTAATCTCACACCAGCTTCCTAGACTTTAGCAAATTTATTATCTGTAATGTATCCCCCTTTGGCCCTGTCTAACCCTATTCGAGGCAATACTCAGGACAATTCCTATAGCAGCGGCTTCCCAGAGTCTCCTGATGCTCCCTCCACAAGCCCAGAGCATGTCGGGGAAAGAGAGGGCCTAACAGCATGGTAGTTCCATATTGCCACTGCTTTGTGACTGGAGCCAAGAAAAAGAAGAGAGCGTCTCTGGGTTTCTCAATTCCATGTCCTTCTGTGAAAACCATGACACTTACTTTTCATAATTTAAAATCCTGCCTTACTCTGGGAGCATTAGAATTCCTAGACTATGACTGAGTATTAGTGTGCGTCTGCTTTAAATGTCAAGAGAGTCTTTAATAATAACATGTAAGGAATGTTAAGATGGTGACAGAGCACAATAAAAGTAGGGAAATTCTTCGATTGGGGTGAAATGAGCCATATATTGCCCACCACCTGAATGCTGTAGTTGGTGTGAAAGAAATCATTTAAAAGTTTTTCACTGGTACTAAGTTCTGAAGCCATAGTTTGACAAGGCAGATCAGAAATAACTGGTAAATGCTCAGTTTGGTAGAGTAATTTGAGTTCTGCTCCTTCTAGTCACTGGTTTTTCTCCCCCTTGTTTTCTTCTTTTGATCATATGTACTTTAGAGACCTGTGTTATTGGATATACCCTACCTAAGTAACTGAATATGCTCTGCCTAAATCGGGTTAATCTGGATCATCATTGCATAATAAACTACTGAGGAAACCTGTTAAGTTTTAAGGCCTTCTCTATCCATGGCAGAGAGTAGTGTCTCCCACTTAACTTGATTTAACTTGGACACTTCGGGTCCTTATTTAAAAATACCTACTTCCAGGTCTCACCATTGGAGTGTTGGCTCCAGCACATTTAGGTGAGACCCTAGTCGGTTAAATTGGAGATCATCATTATGTGGGATAATCTGAACTCATCCATTCATTTAGGGGCCTGTTAAAACTCCATGTCCCCCCTTCCATGGAGGTTCTATGAAAAGACATTACTTTTCATAATTTAAAATCCCACCCAACTCTGGGAGCAGTTGTTCAGCATGACAGCTGAGAGAGAGGCTAACACTTGTAATTTCAGTTATTGTTCCAGGTGATTTTTAGAATCACACTAGTGTGGGAAACTCAGACAAAGCATCATATAACTGGGAACCTAGTCTTACTTCTCCCTCTTCCCAGTTCACTGACCTCAGATATGTTTACCTTGCAAACCTCAGTTTCCCCAATTATAAAACAGAATAGGACTAAGGGACTTGAAATAGCCGCAGTACCCTCTTTAAATCAAAGGAGTGTCTTCACCCTTTCTTCTCATCTGTCCTCAAGAATTCTGGCATTTTTACACATACAAAGCCTTTCATTTATTTCAGCAGAGTTTTGTTTCTCATGAGTGAGAACCACCAAATTGGCCTTAAAATGATTAGTCCTTCTGACAACATAGAAAATGGTGATGTTAAATGAACCCCAAACCATGTTCCCTTTTCTCTGTTAAAAGAATGAGTTTAATCTCAGTTTGTATCTTTGAGGATGCTGAATGGAGCTCCTAGCCTTTGGCAGTTATCAGTGGCTCGGGTGCAATACACATATTCTGATCTTCCGCAGCCCAGACTATCTCAAACCTAATTTGAGGCCATGGCTAATCGAAGAGGAGATGACCTATTTCAGCCAAAGGGTAGAAAATATTTGCCCAAGATGAGGGGAAGATACAGTGAGAACCTGAAACAAATCGATAAGAAGTAGGCTTCATCTTTCCTTCGCTTTCAGTTCCATTCTTTAAATGATCAAAATTATTTCTCTTCCCAGTTAGCCCAACTGCAAACTCCATTGAACCCCTGTTAGGCAGATCCAGATTTCAAACATATAGTCAACCAGCAGAAGTCTCGATACATTGGACCAATTTACTTTTTTTAAAAAAAAAAAAAAAGAAAAAAGAAAATTGTTCAGCATTCACGAAGCACTAGTCATTTTGCTAAGCTTGTTTTGTGCAAGAAACGCTTCTGATCTTCAGAACACCCCTTCAGAGTTCAGAGATGATCATTCCATATTTAGAAGGAGAAACTAAGTACTTAAAAAGGTTACATAATGTGCTGAGGGTCACTGAGCAAGGATTTGAACACAGCACAGTGTGATTGTTGTGTCCACACCCTAACCATTTACTCTCTACCACCGTTGTACAAAACGTTGTACAGAACAAACTCATAGATTAAAATGACCCCTGCACAAGCAACTTCTCTTACGTTTTAGGCTGTTGTCATTCCTTTTATGGTAGATACTCATTCCATACCCACTGGGAAAGTTTTTTAGAGAGTAAATCTTTTTTGATATTTCAAGACAAATTTTGTCAACCAAATTTTAGTGGGCCTTTAGCTTGAATGCCTCAATCTCCTTTTCTTTGCTTTTCATAGAATTTATAGTTTAAGAGGAAATGCTGGAATATACTTGCTAACACTAAATGTTTGTATCCTCATCTTTTAATAATGAAAGGATGCCGTGAAAATTGATGGGGATGGTGAGCGCATGGGATGATGGCATAAGAAGTAATAAAGAATGTGAAAGCTTTTGGAAGGCTCAGTTAGTATTATAAATGCAAGACGGCCACTGTACACAGGGTATGGTTTCAATAGGTGTGAATGTTTAGCCTTTTTGCCTAAAAAAAAAAGAAAAACTGAATTTGGCAGGTTTCTTTCTGTAATTGTTAAAACAGTTTGTTAGAGCTATAATAGATTTAAAGTCTAAAACTCTTTCAAGAATATGATACTATATGTTAGTTTGCACTAACCAAACAAAACCAGAAAGTTAGAACTAGGGTGGTGGAATTGAGGTTCCTGGGTCACTCTCAGAATGGATGATGAGTTCTAAACAATGTGCTCATGGAAAAATATGAAAACATTTCCAATGGCAGTTACCTCCAGGGTTTATGGAAGTGGCTGTGTTTACAAATTTTAGGTATGTGTTTGCAATGTAGTGTTACTATCTTTGCTGACCAGTTAAAAGATCAGCTTGGTAGACCTCTGGCTAGAAATATAGAGAAGATGATCCCTTTGAATGCCAGGGATTCAGATTTTCCTTGCACCACACTTAGTCTTTATAACTGCTACATCAACAATGTTTACCCCCAAAGTAAGTCACAATCAATATTCAGCAGACTTCAGTAAATACCGCCTCTCACCCTTTAATTTGTATTGTTCAGCACGGCAGATTACTTCTTGTTTTTAAGAAAAATACAATTGATTTCTTAATTCCTTCTGCCCCATGATAACTTTAAAACAAAACATCTCTTAAAGAGTCTGAGTATTTAACATCAAAAAACTTAGGATACTTACATTAAAAAAAAAAAAAGGAATAGCAGAAAAATACCATTCCTAACATTTCAATTGTTCTAAGCCACTTTGGAAAACTAAATTCCTTTAGCATTATGTGTTCAGAGAATCTTTTAGTTTGGCTGTTCAATAACTTACTAAAGAACAGAGGAGGAATAACATCAAGTGGCTCCTAATATGGTATCATTTTCATTTCCTGTTTGTTGAAAGATAAATGCTAACACTGTAAGGCTTTTTTTCTTTCTTTCTTAATTTATTCCTCCCTGAACCACAAGGGAATAAAAAGAAAAAAAAATCAAATGTGATATGGCTTGAGACTGAGTCATCCAGTAGGGATCAGCTGGAAGCTCTTTCCCTTCTCCCTTTTGTACTCTTTCCCTTTCCTCTGCCTTTCTACAACCCCCAGCCGCCTTCCCCCTTCTTCCTTAGAAAATAACTGTATTTAAATACATAAGGTGTATATTTTTTTAATTTGGGAATAGTGTTAGACTTGAAAAAAATCGTTGCGTTTTAAAGGATTTAAGGTTAATTATGTGGCAGAACTAATGAGTCCCTCCTTAACTCTAAGGCATTACTTTGGACAAATGATCTACAAAAGTATTGAAATTCAGCTGTATTCTCTCCCTCTCCCCTTCTCTCTCTCTCATATTAATCTCTTCTCCATGCCTAAATGCCACAGCTGTTCTCTTAACTATCCCTTTATCTTTAGGGGATATATTTCCCACTTCTTTTACACAAGTAATCATTATGTGTCCCCTATGCCCAACTGTCTTGAACTATCGAAAATATCGAGTTAAAGCAGTCCAAGCGAAGCATAAAGGATGCAGCTTCCAATAAGTAGTATTCGAGTGCCTACTATGTATATCCAATTAGGACCTTGTGTGACTTCAGAAGATCGTTTTTTATAGAATCAGGAGACTTAAATTATTGAGACTAGCACATAGCAGGTACTCAAATCTTGAGTAAATGAATGAACCACCTTATTCTCCGCTCGTTTGGAAATGGGAACCTGTCATCCCTTGTAGCCTGCTCCTGGCCTACTAATATCACTTGGCCAGCACTGTCTTAATCTATGCCTACCTGTTCAGAAAGATGAAGCTAATTTTGCATAAATGTATCCATCTGTCTAGGAGTTTTTCCACAACCACAACAGATGAATTTATGGGTTTTAGCTACCTTGAGCTCATTTTCTTTTGGATTTTCTCATGAATCAGGTTGGTTAATAGGTATGATTCACATTTGTCTTTTAGCTGTCTGTGTTCCATGGGACTGCGTGGTGCCAGCAGGTCTAGAACTCCCCAGTGAATGTCTAGTGTATCTTGTGTTGAGAAATCTCACACCAACACCTCCAGTTACTTAGAGTTTGGCAGTGGTCATGTAGGTTTCGAAAACAATTAAGCAATGAAAATGATTTTATCATGTGCTGCGGTGCCATAGTGTAATTTGTAATATGTATCATTTATGGTATTAAAAGAGTCATGCATCTTTATTCAGAGAAATAACAAAGCATTTTCTTCCTGCTAGCTTGCAAAAGACAAAGAGCGCCTGCAAGCCATGATGACCCACCTGCATGTGAAGTCTACAGAACCCAAAGCCGCCCCTCAGCCCGTAAGTAATGACCCCCACTAAGGTGAAAAAACAAAACTTTCAGTATTCCTTTTCTGCTTCCCCACCCCAAACAGAGGAAGGAGGACCAGCCTGCTTTGGTAGAACTTTGAGTTTTGAAGGCCTTAGATTCATGTGACTGTTTCTGGTTACCCTTTATGACGAAGGTAGTATGCTAGGCACTTGGGAATACAGGATGATTCAGACATGGTCCTTGCCCATAAGACTTAAGCATTCAGCTCTTCTTTAAGGGCAGAATGACTGCTGCTAAAGCAAGGTACTGAAATACATTATGAGAGCTCCCTGGAAAAAGGAAGTCTTTCTGAATGGTAGGAACGCAGAGAAGACAGCCAAACCATGACAGCAAAGGAAAGAGGCTCGGGTAAGCTGAGAGACAGTGATGTGTGAGAAAAAGAGCAGGGACTAGTCCAGTCTAACTGTAACAGAGGAAAGACATAAGAAACTTACTGTTGGAATAGTCAGAGGCTAAATTATGGAGAGGCTGTGATGGTTACTAAGGAGTTTGAAATGAAAATTATTCCTTCACAGTTAGGAGCCCAAACATAACATACTGAAATTACATTTAATTTATAAGAATCTCCTCTTTCTTGCCTTGTTCCTTTTACTGGACCCTGAAGGGCGTCATCCCAGCACAGGCTGTTAATGTCGAAGCAGAAGGATGGTGTCTGAACCTAAAATTTTGTCTTGGACCTCCTTCCTTTTTAATAAGTGTATCTCTTTAACGGTTGTATTTCTCTTACATTTCTAAAATTCTTCTAGTAGCTTTAACTGATTATTCAAAATGGAGACAGTGCTTTGCTCCTTGATTTTAAGATTTGTAAAATTTAAAGGTACACTGCCTTTATTTGATTTTGCTTGGAGTCACTGTGTGAAAATTAATTGAGCGTTGACAATCTATAGTTAGTACCAGCAATTTTAATCAATATGCAATGATGCAGCATAATGGCAAAGTATTGGTTTATCTGTTTTGACTGATTTTTTTCTATAAATAAAGCAAACATACACCCATATATGTATGATTTATGGTGATAGAAATAAAACGGAGTCAGACTATTAACCCAGCAAATATGGTAGCCTGCCAAGATGCAGTTGGCAGGCAAAATTAATGTCTGAAACAGAACACATTACTGAGATATAGGACATAAAATCATTAAACACTTCGCGCATCCATTTTTACTAGGAAGGAGTCCTTAGTTGCCATGTATTTTACAGTAAATGGCTGTAGGACTGGTTGTGTAGGCTACCAAAAAGAAAGGAAAAAAGGAACCAGGTCATTCAGCGTTGTGGCATCATTAGTCAACTGTGCTGTTTCTAACAACCCTTCCTGCTAAAGGAGGATATTGGGAAGATCATGAACCCAGCTAAGCAAATTGGTGAGCCTCTGAGATGACTTGGCTGAAGTCATCTCGAAGAGGCATAGCTGATTGCACGAAACACTGACTGCCCTGGAACTTTCTGAAAGTGTTTAGATAGCTTTAGTGAAACAGTCTTCCCAGATTGCATGGTTTGAGAGTTTTCACCCAGCAACAAGGAAGAGAATGAGATTATCTCCGTCTTCTTCCATGGATCAAAAACAGTGATAGGATAATGGTTGGACCCAGCTCTATAGGCGTAGATCTTGGCCTCCTTGGGAGGAGGAAGGATACAATTAAAGAGAAGGAACTGCAAAACCCCGTAGGGCACTCGGCGAGTGACTGGGCTGACTGTTGGTAGAGAGCACCATGTATGTAAGCCCCGTGGGCCACAAAAGGACCATTGGGATTCTCCACATGGACCAGAGTAAGCAGGCGGTAAACAGGGAGAAGCCAGCCATGGGGGAAATGAGCAGGGATGGAAGGTTTGTCTTGATGAGTATTAAAAAAAAGAATGTTTTGCATTCTAGAAAATTATAACTTTGAAGGGGACCTCCTACTAAATTTATTTTTAACTGCTCTATTGAAAATTCTCTGCCACTAGTCAACATTATCTCTTAGTAGCTCAGCACAGTATTTCTTTATTAAAAGAAATAGGCACGAATATTTTTGACTGAAAAATTAATAGCTTTTGAATTCATACACAGCAGGTTTTCTTTTGCAAAGAAGTCCAATATCGCTGCACAGCACTTCTATAACCATTTATTTAGAGTCCAAGTCAAACCTTTGACAGCTAGAGCAGCGCTACAAGCCAACATAAAGAACTCCAAGATGTAAACCAACAATAGGCCGTCTGTGTGAGGTTTGCCATTGTCAAATACATAGATTGTTTGGATTAGTTTATGTAAATGTACTGTTGTATTACCCTTTGAGGAAAAAAAGATCACATTTGTGTATGAAAAGTGGTTCCCTTCACAGGCAGCATTATAAATTCCTTATCCTTTAACTTACATGTAAGAAGTAAAAATTGGTGCCTGACAAGCAGATATTGTGTGACACTCTGTTGTCAGAGTGAACCTGCCTTCTTTTCATTTATTGGAAAATAGAAAATTTTATTACAGATACCATCTTATAAATCAGGAATTATTAAAATATGTATAGGTGAGGCATTGGGAAATTAATTATAAAAAGTAGATGTGTAATGTTTTGCATAAATTTTCACTTCTTTGCCAAAAAGAGAAAAGAAAAAAAAAGAAGGGCATACACATACAGCAAACTCTTGATGCTTTCAACTTTAAGGGCCCAGAGCTATCTGGTGACTGATTCTCACATGCAAAGTCCCTGCAGTCTGTAATTAATTTATTCTGCCCTAAATAATAGAATGCATGACGTTTGTTTGAATGAGTATCCTTCTAGAATCTTTGATTTGAAACAAGCAGTCACCAGGATCAAATCTAACCCTAGATAGGGACTTTCATGTTACAACCTTGCCAGTAAGTTCATGAAGCTTTTTCTTTTTTCCATTTCTGTGTAAAAGAAACCTCATGTTTATTTTAAAATTCTTAGTCACTAAGTGATAGAATGCTTTGCTGTAAATGTTGCTTTTCACTAAATGCCATTTGGGTGTTAAGTGTCATTTGCTGTATCCAGTCATTCAACCAGTCCTCAGCTCATTGCATCAAAGAAACTGCTAAAACGTTCTTAGATTGTTTCTACATCCGCTCATAGACACATTTTCTGGATCCTATTGTGGGATTCATCAGATCTGGATAGTTACAGGATACACTCATCTCGGGAAGGTGCCCAAGTTTTTAGACATGGATCTGAGGCAGAAAGCTTATGGGTGAACTGGGACAGGAGCTCACAGGCTTCCCATCTCTCAGACTCCTTCGACAGCCTTTCTTCCTGCTTGCTGTCACATTTTTGTAAACCTAAGTAAAATCTTCCTTTCAGAACAGAACCAAAGACTCAAAGTGCAGGTTGGTTATGGAAAGGGAATTCCTGCATTTACAATCAGACTATTCCAACAACCAGTAATTCTTAAGCATGTGACATACAGAGCAAAAAGTAGTCCGTCACATGAGTGAGGCCCATCCCTACCATGGAGGTGTTCGGAGTCTGGGAAAACAAACTGGGAATTAACTACGTACACATTCACACGTTGTCACTTTTCATGAATTGCACTACCTGTAAGTAAAACAGGTGACCCAGAATGGTAAAGTTAGGGGAGACTTCTGGGAGAAATGACATCTAGGCTGAAACCTAAAAGATGAATAGGAAGAAATGCTAAGAGGTCAGCTTCGTGGACCTTAGGTTAAGAGTGGGTTGCACGAATCGGTCTCTGAGTGGCGAGGATCAGTGTAGAGGAAGGAAAGGAATCGCCAACATCAGTTAAGACAAGCTTTTCAAACTTTTAGTTTCATTAAGTCTGGAACCTGCATGGAAGTATATAGTATGTGTAAGTTTCAAGAGCATCGCTAAGTTCTAGCTATCAGGTACATAGAGCAGAAAAGCAGTTCTTGTATTTAGAATAGCCACATTTCTTGTTATTTTAAGTTTTAAAAGATTCTATTCTTTCCCATGGAAAGAGAAGCAAAAAACAAGACAATAGTAAACTGCCCTAATGAAAATAATTGATATTCTTTTGTTCCAAACTCAGTAAACATTCTCAAAGTAAATACCCAAGTGTATTTCTTGGAGGTTAATTTCTCCATGCTTACTCTATGGAGAATTTGCCAAGATATTTCATTTGGGGGAGGGAGTGGAAAACTGAGAGGACAAAACAAAAACATGGCTGTGGTATGATGACTCTATTAAATTGCCACGGATTTCTTAAAAAGACTTCACTATCTGTCATTATGTCAGGAAAACACTGTAAATCGTATTTTATAATACCGAGTACATGAGAGGTACGCTTTGCTTCAGGGTATTCCTACACATCAGAGAACAACTCCTGCTCCTGGAGAAACCACATTCTTTTAGATTTGGTGGGCACGTAATTATAGTGTAGGTGGTATATCCTTCTTGCCGAAAATCTTATAAAACACTTACAGGAACTTGGATATTTGGAATGAAAGACAGTATTAGATTTTCATTTTTACACATTTTCTTTTCCTCCAACCATAGCAATTAGGACTATTTTGAAAGCGTTTTTAGCTCCTATAAAAACAAAGTGCCCACCGAAGAAAAGGGTCTTTTAACTCTTCAAGGATCATTTGCGCTGCCTGGGTCCTTGCTTTAGAGTTGGAGAAATAATATTAAACAGTCATAAAAAGGGATTCTCAGGCACAACACACAAAAGCTGATTTATATACTGTTTTCTCATTAAGTGCCCCCTCACCACCCGAACTAGAGTTTTTTTTTTTTTTTTTTTCTTCCATTTAGTATCCCTGCCAGTGCCACTACCTTCTAAGTCACGGCCCTCCACGAGCACCGTCTCTAAAACATGGCCAGGCTCAGATGGTAGAGGAGAGCAAAGGCTTGTAACAAAGGCCTCCAGCTGCCACCCACTGTCCTGCCCTCTGTGCGGCCTTGTACCATCCCTCCAGTCTCAGCAAGGCTGTGTCTGAACTCAGTGATTCATGCCTAGAAACGCCACCGCCATGCAGTTAAAGCAGGACTTCAGCTGGCTCAGGCCAGTAAAACCAAGAACAGAAAAACAAGTTCTGTGAGCCTGAAAGTCCCTACTATGCAGTTGTGTCCCTTGGTGTTTGGGTTTCAGGTCTGTCTTTTGTTCTCAGAATCTGTTTTCATGTGAGGCAAGAGCACAAACAAAAATAAAAATGAGTTCTTATGGGAATACTTACAAGTCTGTTTCTGTCAGGGGTTTACATCAGCAGTTTATTTATTTTTTTAATGCGAGTGACTCATCATCTTTAAACAGGAGGGGAGATCTGACGGTTAAAAACTTTTTTTTTTTTAAAGGACTAAGCAGAATAGTGGGTAGCTGACAAAGTTTGAATAGTTTCAATGGCTAAAAGAAAAACTGATGCCTGAGAGTACAAATAAATTTAAAATATAAAACCCTACAGCAATTTTAAGTGACATAAGAATTTAACTTTTGGCCAGAGTTTCAAAGAGATTATCTTTGCTGAAATCATCACATGATGGAAACTTGCCATGTAGAAAATATCAGAGTTCTGACTTTTCTAAACATAGCAACTTCTTTTTAAATAGAAAATGAACACAATAAGAAAAATAGGCTTTCCATCAGGAAGAGAAACCCTCCCAGCATTCCCTTCCTGCTCCATGCCCTAGAAAAAATTATCTTTTAAAACCTTAACTACAATCAGAAACACAAAGCATAGATGCTTTCATTTCTAATTGATGATTATATTAAGATTTAATGGTTTACAATTAAGATGAATATTTCAAGATTACAGCAAAAACCCACACCGTTCCCCATTTGCTCATCTAAGTCTGTAATTAATTTTTTTTTGGGGGGGGGCACTCTTTTTCAAAGAGGCCTTAATTAAAAGAGCAGGTTTGGTTTGAACACAGAGCCTGTTTTGAATCTTTCTTCTCCATTCTTTCTCTTTCTCAACCTTCCCTTTCGAAAGTGGTTTCTCTCCAGGACAAGCACGTGATCATCAAACAAGTTTAAAAGTTAAGACACTTCTCTGTCAGTTGACAAGGTTGACATTTCATTAACTTGTTGGTTCGGCCTTCAAACGATTTTGTGTGGCAAAGCATCCTGTGTTTGGAGTGTACAGCTTTTTCTTCTTCCTTCCCTCGTAGGCTACAGTCATGTTTAATTTGGAATCTGGGCTCCTTTGGCAAATTAGCAATTAGAACAATTTTGTGGGAATATGTATATGTGTCATTAGTTTTCCTGCAAATTAATAGCAAGGGCAGAGGTCAGGCAGAAATTTTCCACTTGACTGCAGCTCCTCTATTGAGACTTGGCACTTGGTTTTGGAATGGCCACAGCTGCTCTCAGCCACCCTCTTCCTCTAGGAACTGTCTTTTAATTAGTTTACCTCATAGCCATCATTACAAATATTACTGCCTCCCCTCCTCGAAATAAAATTACTGTTTCTACAAAATATTCCAGTGACATCTTGCACCACTGCACATTGATGGTGGGGTCACTCAAATGCAGCATTTAATCATTAGATCACCTCCATCCGAGTCTCCTAATTAGAGTCCTTACAATACATTTTTATCTGGTAATTAGCTGAGATTGGCTGCTTCCTCTGTGGCTTATTAGAGACAGCCCAGCAGTGGGTGTGAATCACGGTGTCATTTGTCAAGCCTGGTAAGCCCCCTCTCTGCTCTCTTCGGGCTCAGTGTTTATTTCCACTTGCTATGTTCAAAAGCCTCCAGAAAAGTCTACCTGTCTCTCTTCCTTTGTGGATTATGCTAACTTGGAGGGATTTTATTTTTCGCTGTTGCCTTTTTTTGGTAGAGTCCTAGTGGTGAGATCTTGGTAAAAGCTACAAGAGTCACATCCTGTCTGCTTTGATGACATTTTATTGTGGGATTTGTCTATTCTTCTTTGCTGTGAGCACCCAAAAAGATGAGCTTGCACTTGCTGAATGAGTTTTGATTTCTGACATTGAAACTAGAACTCAGTAAACTTGGTGATCTTCCTCCCAAAACTGTAAGGGAACGTGCATGAAGGACATTATAATTTGTATTGCATCTTAAAAGAAAGCCACAGTGTTTAGGGAAATGTTCTTAAACTGAAAAGAGAAGCCAAGAAGCAGAGTTAGTCCTCAGAATTGCATTGTGGTTACTGTGTATCTTTGCCTTTGACATATGTGTTTGATGGTAAGCACTTTAAGGGCAGCAGTTAGGTGTTTTATTCCTCTTTTTGTCATTATAGGACTAACGGCCTTATATTTGCTCAGTTACATGTGTTGAATGTCATACATAAGCAGCATTAAAATGCTCTGCACAGAATCTTTTCCAAAAATGAGTATACAGAAAAATGAAGCTGGTTAGTGTTCATTTTTCCCATTAACTGTGCATAAAATGATTATACAAAGGATCTAGAATCAAACAAGTGTGTGGTTTGACTTTGGGTCTGGGTTGGGAATATGGGCCAATTATTTAATCTCGCCAAGCCTCAGTTTGCTTATCTGTAAAATATAAGTAATAACATCTCAGATATTAGTGGTGGTAGGAGAATTAAAGGAGACCACACAGTGGCAGGTGCTTTCAAACATGATTTTTTCAAATGTTACCCGTGACTTTCCAAAGTGCTCTGAGATTCTTAGGCTTAGCAACGTCTGAATTATAAAAGCTGTATATTTATGAGCATTAACCTTTCATGCACTAATTTCCTTGACCCTTTGCTTGGGCTGATGCTTATACGTACTGTTCCTGGACTTGGTCAATGATTTAGGCCTGAGGTGAAGAAGAGGTCGGCCCCAACTCTTCCCCCCTTGGCTTCTCAGCTCTGCCCCATCCTGCGGCTGCTACTCTGAACTGTTCACACTTAGTTTGCAAATGCGTGTCAGAAAGTCAGATTTCCAGCACTATAGAGAAAAAGCAGCTCCCAGCATCTGCTCAGCTTGCTGGGGCATTTGTAAGGGCAGTGCCATCTCCATAACTCGCTCTTCGTGGGGATTGTCGATTGCTCACCGAGTTAACATCCTACGCTGAAAGTAAAAAGGAAAGCACAACTCAGCGTTCACAGATTCCATTCCCAGCGCCATGTTTACATTTTTCCATTAGTATTTCTTCATGATATTTGATCTTTCTTTTCTCCAGATTCATTGCTTTTTTTATGAAACTCACCCAAACATATTAGGATTTTCATGGCCTTTTTTTTTTTTTTTTTTAACTGGAGTATGAGTAAAGGTCGAGTCTTCCCAACATATTGGAACTCTCTTTTAATAGGTTCTTTGATTATGATCTCAGAGGAATCTCATTTAACCTTCCACAAATACTGCCTTGTACTTAAGACTGACTGTAGCACTGGTGAATTAGACTTCATGAAATAGACTTACTGTGGTGAGTGATTTGAAATCTGGTTTTAGAAAATGTTACCAAGTAAGCCTGCTTTGCCAAAGAAGTTTCTTGGATTTTAGGGTGGGTCTTTGTATCTGAGATAGCATATAAACAGTAATACGCTGAAAACAACCAAATTCTTCAGCATTGCCAGACATAAAATAATATTTCTGTTCTAACACGTTTTGGAAAAGGGTTATCCCTTTTAGTATTTGTTAGAACAGTGCTTCAGGGTGAAGATAAGAGAGATAAATTGAAACAGTTATCTGTTTATTATTTTTATAAATATCTATATTTAGATATATATTTTTTATATAAATATTTATACCTATTATTTTCTTTCTTTCCTTCTTTCCTTTCTTTTTTGAGGTGGAGTCTCACTCTATCACCCAGGCTAGAGTACAGTGGTGTGAAGTCAGCTCACTGCAACCTCTGCCTCGGCTCAAGCTGTTCTCCCACCTCAGCCTCCCAGGTAGCTGGGCCTACAGGCGTGAGCCATGACATGTGGCTAATTTGTGTGTGTGTGTTTTGGGTTTTTTAAAATAGAGACAGGGTTTCACCATGTTGTCCAGGCTGGTTTCAAACTCCTGGGCTCAAGAGATCATCCTGCCTCAGCCTCCCAAGGTGCTGGGATTACGAGTGTGAGCCACCATTCCTGACCTATTTTCTTCTATCCTACTTCAAATAAGTAATATTTATTTACTAACTTGAAGCAGATTATTTCCCATTTTATAGAAGATTCAAAACTTGAAGGAAAAAATTTCAGCAAAAACCTCACAGTTCCAGATCTCCGTATTCTGTAAAAGAATGTCACATTAAAAAAAATTAACAGATACCAAGCCTTTGATAGATTTAATAAAGATTACCCATAAAGCTTTTAAGGATTATTTTCTGCTAACCGATGGAAACACATGACGGCTTGTGGGATCAGGGCCGTTGTGTTTAATGAGTGATAGGCCACACATATTTGCAGTAGTTCTTGTCATCCAGGAAGCCGCATGATGGCCTTCAGTAGTCTCTCCTGGGCTGTCCACTATGGTAGCTACTAGCCACATGGGGCTCTTTCCTTTTAAATTTATTAAAGTTTAATTTTAATAAAAAGTAAAAAGAGCTCTTGGGTTGTACTAGCTTATTGCAGAAAGTTCTGTTGGACACTTCAGATGTACACTAGCGTATTCCAACTTGTATTGCCTAAAATATTCAGCTTTACTGGTATTGCTCAGGACTCCTCTCTGGAGCTCTTTGAGGTTGACGAGGCCCAATGGGCGATTAAACTAGTTGAGACATCACGATCAAAGAAACGTCTTGACTCAGGCTTTCTCAGTCTCACTCAGGTAGGTAGCCCCTTTTTGAGCCTGTAAACACCCACGTAGCAGCCTTTTGAAAAGAGACTGCTGCCAGAGATATCTTACGCTACATCCTAAGTGAATTGGGTTTACGCAGGACTCAACTTGTTTTTCGGTTCATGGTAGATGTATCTGCTTAGAGAAAGAGCGCTGTCCATGCATTCTCTGTATTATTCCTGCTGGATGCGTGGTAACCGGGTTGCTCTGTTTTCCTGAAGGTCTTCTAAGACGTGTTTTTTCCCTCACAGCTGAATCTGGTATCAAGTGTCACTCTCTCCAAGTCCGCATCAGAGGCTTCTCCACAGAGCTTACCTCATACTCCAACGACCCCAACTGCCCCGCTGACTCCCGTCACCCAAGGCCCCTCTGTCATCACCACCACCAGCATGCACACGGTGGGACCCATCCGCAGGCGGTACTCAGACAAATATAATGTGCCCATTTCTTCAGGTAGATACTCCATGTTTTGCCTCACGTAGAGTTGTAATCTGCAATTCTTGTAGACCAGCCCGTTTTTAAAAAGTGATAATTAATAGGACAATGATTCTTATTCAGCAGATATTGCGCAGAACCAAGAATTTTATAAGAACGCAGAAGTTAGACCACCATTTACATATGCATCTTTAATTAGGCAGGTAAGTAAATAACACAGTATATGAAATTCTATCAAAAGGTGTATGTGTACATGGATATATATTGATGAAGTAGATTTCAAACCGTTTAGTATGCAAGCATGCTGAAACCTTTTCTATAAGGTTTTTTAAAACTGCAATATATAACATAATTGCTTTTGATTAAGTATTACAATACGATGTGATTATTAGGAAATTCATTTCACACAACAGTGAAAATGAGCCTGTTTAAAGATGGCAAGTCAATTATCACAAGCTACAGTAATCTCTGATCCCTAGAATTAATCTGAGCTCTAAATAATTACTGAGCTTTAATCAGCTAGTGAAATGTTTTGCATTTCTCTTTGATTCTGCTTTATGAATGACTAATAAATTAATATTTCTGTACGGAAACAGAAATAAAAACTCAAAACAATTAGATAACTCCATTTTGAATTTTGCTATTGAACTGTTAAATACAACCATTAATCTTAGATCATTTTGTGAAACCTTTCTCAGGATTTAGCTCTGAATCCCAGTGATTGTATATTTTGGAGAAACTGTATAACGACGACTCTGCTGATTTGGTCATAAATTATCTCTGTTACATTGTGCTTCACAGGCCATTCTCGAATCTCCAGAAAAGCAGCTAACACTAAATGAAATCTATAACTGGTTCACACGAATGTTTGCTTACTTCCGACGCAACGCGGCCACGTGGAAGGTAAACTTTCTCAGGCCTGTTTAGTCTTGGGTCTTGACATTCATAGAACAGTTTATTGTTGATAAAATGCAATTGTGCTGTAAGGAAGCTACATTTGTATTGTTTTGATACACTTAAAGTGTCCCATCTGTAGGTGTATTTGATTGGGAAAGCAGTGCCATCGTGGCTGAAATGCCTGGATGGAAGACTCCCATTACACGGGCATGAGCGGTGTGGAGGGGCCAGCCAGTAAAATGATCTCTCTCTGGTTGGAATATGTAGAGAAAGGCAGATGACACGTTGCCCAAAAGTTGAGGTTGCCATATTACTTCCACAAACCTCATGAGGTTAGATCTTCAGCCACAGCCAATATTTGCAGAGAGATACCTCCAGAGATAGAACCTGGAGAAATGACCAAACTTGACAACAGCCTTCAATGGTTGGATGAAAAGCTCATTCACCCAATTAGTAGAGAAAGCTGTGCAATCTAAGTACTAGCTATTAATGGAGACCACAATGTATTACCAAGGGTTTGTTTTTTTAAGTCAAGAGATTGTTGGCCAGGCACAGTGGCTCATGCCTATAATCCCAGCACTTTGGGAGGTTGAGGCAAGAGGATCACTTGAGCCCCAGAGTTCGAGACCAGCCTGGGCAACATAGTGAAACCCTGTCTCTCTTAAAAAAATACATTAGCCAGATATGGTGGCATGCACCTGTGGTCACAGATACTCCAGAGGCAGAGATGGGAGGATTGCTTGAGGCAAGGAGGTTGAGGCTGCAGTGAGCCCTGTTCATGCCACTATACTCCAGCCTGGGCAACAGAGCAAGAAGACCCTTTTTCAAAAAACAACAAAAACAAAGATTATCCCTCATAGATATACTAAGGAAGAAAAGTAGATTGTAGAAGTTCATTATAACACTATTTGCTATAAAAACATGTCAAATTCCATAGTTCTTTATTGGATAACCCCAGCAGTGCGTGGGGTTATATGGCTTACCTCATTCCCAGTTCAGCAGCTGGTTCAAAGATTTCACTGGTATTTATTCCCTTCTATTAGATTGAGCCCTCAGGCATTCTTGGGCTTTCCCATTTTCAAATATTCTTGCTTATAGAAGGGGACAGGTACACTCTGTCATTTGTATTTTTGCTTTTTTTTTTTTTTTTTAACTACCTGGAATTCTTTTAATCCCTGAAATCCAAAATATTTAGAGACGTGTAATACAAACATTTGAGGACATTTTTCTGTGACATTGATCTAAATATGATAGGGATGTGTTATAGGATGCAAGGAAAACTTCCTTCACTTGAAATAAATGCCTTCCTTGCTAATTCCTTAATTTTATACTGGAGAAAAACCAAAGCAAAAAACAGAAAAATTTATTTCCTCTGTTAAGTTCCTGATAAATTAGCATTTTAAAAGAAAATGAATATAACCATAGAATTAATTCATCAACTTTACAGAGCTGTGAATATCTATTATGGCCCAAATTATCCTTTCATTTCCATTAAGACAGTTGGGCACTGAAGGGAACCTATGTTCAAAATCTTCCCCTCTTTGCCTCAGCCTGCCTTAGGAGATAAAATATAAAAGGATCTTTAGCCATGAATGCTTTTAAAAATTTAGGAAGTTGAAGAGGCAGACATTTTCTTCAGATTGCCTTTTATAAATGGAAATGATGAAATTTAAAAATAATTACCAGTTGTGAATATAATATTTAAGCTTAGATCTTCAGATTGAACTTTTTCATTTTGCAAACTGCAGGAAAAAGTGTCATTAATATAAACAACCTTAGATGAAGTACTTAATGACTCATAAATACGTATAATTTTCTCTATGTGTCCTTATTTTCACCATGATCTTAGACAAAAGATGAAATGCTCAGTTAAAGTTATGACTGAAAAGAGCTTACACATCTTTTTTTGAAAACTCTTAACTTCTAGTTGCTTTCTGCTTAGATGTGCAGTTTTGGGAAACAGAACTGAAGCTTTGGCTTTGTGTCTTGACTCACACGGTTATATTGCTCAACCTGATCTACAGAAATTATTTTATCAGAAGTAGCTTTAAGCCCTTTCAGTTTTATACATTTTGATACTTATTTTAAAACATCAGACAGTGATTAGGATTAGAAGCAATGTTGACTTCTTTCCAAGTTATGTCTCCTAGACGTATAATGCCCAGATTTGTAAAGGAAATTGCCTTTGTCTGTTTATTTGTACCACCTCAGTTTTGTTCCAGTAAATAACAGTGGACCTCCTGTTGTATGCCTTTGGGTAATGTATTTTTTAAAATGCAGCTGGGCACAGTGGCTCCTGCCTGTAATCCCAGCACTTTGGGAGGCTGGAGGATCAGCTGAGCCCAGGAGTTCAAGACCAGCCTGGGCAATATAGCAAGATGCCATCTCTACAAAAAATTTTAAAAATTAGCTGGGGGTGATGACACATGTCTCTAGTCCCAGCTACCCAGGAGGCTAAGGCAGGAGGATCTCTTAAGTCCAGGAATACAAGGCTTCAGTGAGTCATAATTGAACCACTGCATTCCACTTGGGCAGTAGAGCAAGGCCCAGTCTCTTTAAAAAAAAAAAAAAATTGCTTAAAGACTAGACTGCATTTTATATGCAAAGAAAATTGTCCTATCAAGTATATGACATGCCAAATGTTTTCAGTTTAGAGATTTTTATTTTTAAGCAAACTCATCCAATTTTTTTTTTTGAATCATGAGTGTCCTTTTGATAGTCACCTGGGTATCTTGAACCTACCTCTTGTTATACTGATATTACTTAGAAACTCTTTGGGAATTGATTGTGTGAATTCTCCTTTCAAGCAATTCATCACACCATGCGTTAAAACTTGTCTCATTATCTTCTAAATATTCCATATCAGAAAAGAAAAATTATTAGGTAGCGTTAATCCTCACAGTCACCAATTTTAATTGTCCCAACACTGAAGCACCTCTCGGAGTAGCAAGATTCACCACCATTAAGGGTAATTCAGGAAGAAAATACTCCAGGTGGCAGAATGGGGAGGGGTGCAAAATGCTTGTGCTGGAATTGAGTGAGGACTTCACATGGTATGTGAGTTGTGATGTTTATGCCAACTTCTCAAGCCCCAATTGAGTGATCTACTCATTCTGAATAAGATAACAATTTTAAATGACATGGATCTCTTTAGAATATCTTCATGTCCAGCACTGAGTCCAGATCCCTAAGTTTAACCAGGCAGGACTAAAGAAATGATGCCTTGCTCGTTACTATACCTAGTAAGGGTGTTAGGGATTCTTCCAAACCCAAAGGAAAGAGGAGATATTAAAAGCTCGTCACTCTTGAGTTGAGATCCTCCTTTTTCATAAATTATTGATGTTAAGGGTCTCAGCCTAGGAATGGCCAGAAAGGACTAATAACCATACAAGATGGGTCTAGAAACCATCAACTGTAGGAATACAGTCATTTTGCCATTGAGAGTTCCACTCATGTGTTCCTTTGGCATTTACTCAATTAAAATACTTGCCCATACATAGAGCCAGCTCTTAGACATAGCTGATCTCTTGCGGGGTCAGTTTACCTCTGGGTCCTTCAGCTACACAAGGTGATACTCTGGGTGGTAAAATCTTCCTTAGAATTTTTTGTAAGATCTATGGAAGTTTTAAAAGCCAGGAACTATCAAGAACAAAACTGTATGTAGCAATATTAACCAAGTGTTCCTCTTTCACGGTTTGAACAAAATACCCCCTTTTTAGGGGAGGTAGGTGGGCTTAAAAGGGGCAGTTTGATGCTTTGCATGTTTTGTTTAAAAGTAACATTTTCAGATTTGTACACTGGAACCTATTTTGGGCTTGTATGCATATTAAAAACTTTCTCCTGGTTCATTATTACCAGAGACTAGATGAAAATGCCAACATGCAATTAATTTATAATTTGGGTTTATTTTTGCTTTTGGAAAAGACATCCTTAACCATGAGAAGGTCCTCCATGGGGGTGGTAGCTGCAGCTCTTGGGGATGGTGTTACAAATGTGGACTGTTAGGCTGAATTTACTGCTGTTTTTGGAGTCTTTTCTTATAGAAAATGTAAATGTTCTCTCTTTTATACTTGCTGCAGAATGCAGTGCGTCATAATCTTAGTCTTCACAAGTGTTTTGTGCGAGTAGAAAACGTTAAAGGGGCAGTATGGACAGTGGATGAAGTAGAATTCCAAAAACGAAGGCCACAAAAGATCAGTGGGTACGTCCACCATGTTTGAACTTCTTAGCCTAGCTTGGATTGTGCTAACAAGTATAACGTAGAGGCTTTGGCTGCTAGATGGTGTCAGACCAAAGAACTGGTTTCACGTTGTCTCAGTTAAGGGAAGCAAAAAAGCATTTCATCCCTCCTGTTTTGTATACCCACCAGTCCCCCTGCCCTGCTTGCTGGTCTTTGTTGCATCACATGCTAGTAGCTTTTAGGTGGCAATGCATATTAACCCTCACAAACCATTTGCTTATGCTTATTGCATTTTATTTTCTTTTTCCTGTTCCCTGTATTGGATGTCTGTTCTGCCCCCAACCCCGTCTCCTTTTGTTGCCACTCCATCTCCTTTGCTGCTGCTCCTATCCCAGGGTGCCATTCGCACCAACCTCTCACTGCATAAGTGCTTTATCAGAGTAGAGGATGAGTTTGGGTCCTTTTGGACAGTTGATGATGAAGAGTTTAAACGTGGCCGCCATATTCAACGAGGCCGTCCTCGCAAATACTGCCCCGATGAAAACTTTGACGAGCTTGTCGCACAGTAAGAGCCTTTACTTGCTTTTGTTTTTTTTTTCTGCTGTTGCTTTGGCTTTGCATGGTTGACTCATCCCATGTAGTTTTGCATTTCACCAATAGCAGTGCCACAGCTTTCTGCAACGAAACTAAATTGTGTGATTTGTACATGTATTGCTCTCGTTTCTCTTTGGAACACCAGTGCCTTGAATAATGCTTTTTTGACGTCTTTAATGCAAAATATTGGTTGTATTTTGATTCAGCAGCTTACGGGGACGGGACCCTAGAACTAAATTCTTGTGCTTAACCCATAATCCCCCCAAGTGAAAAGGGAATTTTTGCTTAGAGTTAAAATGTGTGTGCACTACTGGGGTAGATAGATTTCTTCTTACTTGTTCACTCACAGGAATAATGTAAATGTAATGAGGTGAATGATTAAAATGTTCCAAGTATAGGAAGGAAATAGGTAATATCGAGTATACTTCCTTTAAAGGCCTCTGATAAATGTAGGTAATTGCTTACTGGAAGGCACTCTTTACCCTCAGTATGCCCAATATATTTTTTTATTATTTTTATCCTTATGAGGCTAGAGATTTTCTGAAAACAGTATGTTGGCTTCATTTGGTCCAGGAATGGAGACAGCAGCAAATATTCTCAGACCCTCCCCGATTTGGCTAAGACATCCCCTTATTTAGAACGCCCCTCCCCTGGCATACCCTACTCTCCATATCCTGTTAGCAATAGACGCGCCTTGTAGACGTTCCCTAAAAGCCTTCCTGCCGTCACTGTAGAGTTCAAATCTTGAAGATGCTTACGAGCCAAGATTCTCTCTGCTCACGCCCAGCAGCCCCTGCTGTGAGCTAGCTCACTGCCTTCCCCAGCACAACCTCCTAGCCTGCTTGCCGCCTTCCTGTTGGAGTCTGGAGTCACGGTAACTCCTAAAAACCTGCAGAGAGGGCTCTGGAGGGAGGACCCGAGCCTGTTATTACCTAAGCCAGAATGTGTACACCTAGTTTCCTTCAGTATCGAAGTCTAACCCCAGAGGGTGCACACAAACCAGCCCTGCAGAGCAGTGACAGGGAGAAAGCCTGACTTTCCTTAGGTTTTGTTAGTGGGGGAAATTGCCGATTTGGAAGGACACCAGCAAGCTTAAAACTTAGCTAGGAGCTCTGGAGTCAACTGTGCTTAACTTGGAGTTTTTATCTTTTTCTTATACAGTAACCCTTCCCTTATTAAAAACATGCAGAGCAGCCACGCCTACTGCACACCTCTCAATGCAGCTTTACAGGTAAGATTAATGGCCATCCCGAATATGCAGCAGAGGCACAGGTCTCCCCCATTCATTTCAAAATATATTAGCCTCGCTCTAATTAGATATTAAATTTTAATTCCGTTAAACTTTTTTCTTAAGTGCACAAAGCATCGTACTCCCTGGAGGCAAACACATCGGGCTGCTTCAGCATTAGCGGGATGCTTAGCATTTTGAATATTGTGGCAAAAAAATTAAAAGTTCACTTATTAATATTTATCAGCAGTATCATAATTTCCATCCTCTTATTTCAGAATTTCACTTGAGGCAAAAATACCACAAGTGTAATTACTCTAGCACAGCTATTAATGTGCTGGATGATAGGCCACTGTGTCACATGACCTTCTATTGTTCACAGGTTTAAAGAGAAAGCAGGGCTTTGTATTTCTTCTTTTAAAGTTGACTTGAGCATCTTCGCTGCTGTCTGGTGTGGGGAGGATCTGGGTCTGGTTCACTTTATAAAGTAAACTGTGTCTGTTTAAACAATAGAGGTGTTTAAGAAAACTCTTCAGTTTTCCTGCCGATGCTCAAGATTACATAATAATCATACGGCGTGTTTAGGAGTGTTTATTTCCTACTGACAAACCAAGAACTTGTTACGTTACCAATGGTACCAGGAGTGAAGATGTGGGTTTTGAGCAGGCGAGAGATAACCACCCAAAAAAGGAGCTACCCGAGGCAGCCCAGCTTCTAGCAAACTTTTTCCCTATTGCACATCTCCGTTCTTAAATGAAGGCTACTCCTGTATCATTTCATTCAAGTACCTGGGTATAGTACTCAAGTTCCCCTCGAGAGTTCATCAGTAAGCAGTATCCTTTTGGCCTGTGGTCCTGTTTGTTTTTGCCCCTACCCAGACTGTTAAAGAAGACAGGCCAAGAGAATCTCGATAACTTTTAAATAACACATTTTAGAGATAAATGTGACATTTGTCATCTAATACCATCGCAGTCCTCTGCAGCATACATTCTCAGTGGGGGCTGTATCACCCCCAGATTGGCTCTGAGATACTACAGTGTCTTGTGTCCTTCCAAAGGACCGTAATACGTGAGCAGATGCTCACATTTCTTGGGGCAACAACGCAAACAGAGACTCAAAAGTCTAAAAAGGGACAATGAAAAAACTGTTGAGACCGTCAGCATGATGAGGAAGGAAGAGATACTGACAGGAGCCTGGGTCTTGCTCTGCATTAAACAGATATTTATTGAGCACGACTCTGTACCCTACAGGCCCAGTAGTCTTTAGAGGCAGATTCACTGGCCTTAGCATTTCAGTAATTTTATTTATTTATTTTTAGCCTGAACTGGATTTAATAGGAGAAACTACTTTCTGCGTTTCTTTTAATTACTTGTAGTTTACACAAGTAACTTTAGAAGAGTAAATGAAAGCATGCTTCGATGCTGCCACTGTAAATACCATTCATTAGTAACTTACTTTCCCTGGAGTCTTATGAAGTGTGAATTTAAAGGCTGCTCTATCTGGAATAGTATTAAGATTACAGGCACATTTTATATTCATGAGGCGGAAAGGAAAAAAAAAAAAAAAAAAAAAAAAAGAGTGATCCTCCGTCCTCTGAATTCTCTTAACTATGTGACTAATTTCAATTAGTATGCTTTGTCATTACAGAACTGTTCAGGTTTCGTCTCTGAACATTTGTTTTTGGCATCTTCTTCAGTAGCCCAAAACTGTCCTGCCATTTTCCAAGAACACTTTCCGTCCATAATGAGGCAAGGGGAATAAATTGATATAAATTCATGATTTGAGAAGTGGATTGTTTCCCTCTCTTCTACGAGTTTGGATCCCTGATCAGTAGACAGACACATAAGACAACTTTCTACTGTGAAAATTAAATAAAGATCCTGCCAGCAGGCCTTCCTTTCCATTACCGCCTATTTCCATTTTTCAAGACGAGTAAAAATAATAGTGGAACAATATCTTCAAAAAAAATTACTAGAGCAACATAATGCATGATATACAATATATAAAATAGGACAGCAGAATCCACTACAGAAATAAAACATGGGACTTGGGACAGATTGCATTATGCTCTGAAAAGTGAAGTAACTAAGGGTAACCGTAAAGCTTCGTATTTATAGACTGCCTTTCTCCTGAGGATCTCAGAGTGGTTAATGTTCCAGGAGCCAGGGTGCTTATGGACTTCTGCACAATTACTTAGGCAACTCCGGTTTTTGGCAGAGGTACCAGTTTGATATGAAACCACATACTGTGCAAGGACCATTTACATAATTAAGTCCATTTTTGTAACATACCTGCTTTTAAGTGGACATCAACTACCAAAGAAGAAAAAAAAGGAACCACTTTGTTAGGCATAAGCAGTGACAATTTCTCTCACCTTGGGTGGGCTGTTCTGATCACTTGCTTAACAAAGAGTGTGTTCAAAATGCTGTCTTGCAGATCAGGCACTGGGATCTCGCTGCAGTCCATTTGATCATTTTTTCAAAGAACAAGGCTGGTTTTCATCACTTACATCTTTCTTGTCTGAGAACCAAGGGATCAATATAAGCGCTTGCGTTTGGATGCCTTTCACTACTGTGGCTGTTGGGTCTCAGCCCATGTTCTATGATCCAGTCCCAATCAGCAATGGCCTTGACCTAGAATACATTGAGAGCCAAAGAGAATAAACAGTCATCCCAAGAAGGTTCCCTTCTCTAGAGGGTGACCAACTCATCCCAATGAGCACATTCATATCAGCATTTCAATTTTGTCTTCAGAATTTCTGATCAGGGAAGTTGCTAAAATAAATAATTAAGCTAGCAGAAGCCACACTGTTGCCACGTTCTGACCATAGAATAGTGAAATTGTCTTGTGAGAGCTTATCTTACAGTATTTCTAGTGGAGAGACACTTGGCAGAATTTCTCTGACTGAGAGAGGTGCGACCACTGTTGTCTCAGATAAAAGCAGTTAAGATGCTTGTCCAACTGCAGTTTGCACAAATACTCCGCAAAAAAAAAAAAAAAAAAAGGCTTTATTGCAATTATAAAAGAGCTGTTGGAAAAAGCACTGGATGCAAATTATTTGACACACTGTCGGAGAGTGTGGAATGTTCAGATTTGCCGTTCATCAAAATGAGTTCACCACATTTGGAAACAAAAACAGCATTTTCCCCCTACTTTTTAAAAGAAGGCAGTTATATACATTTACAAGCAGAGGAAAGAAAAAGCTTTGGGCTTACAGAGGGCCGAGCTTTGACAGTCCATTATCCAGTGCTGTGTTCGGTGAGTGTGCACAGGACTTGTAACACAGAGCCTGGACCTTGAAAGCCCTGGCTTCAGGGTTTGTATAGTGAGTGAGGCTGCCACTGTCATACTAGGCAAACAGACTTCTGCGGCCTAGCTTTGCACTCTTTTGGCTTTTACTTTCTCTCTCGAGCCAGGATTTCGAGAATAATTTGGACTCTGGTATGACTGGCCAGCGGAAATCACTGTGCCAGATCGTCTTGTGACTATACTTTATTCTCATTAGGATGGAAAAGCGGGCATAGTGTAGTCTGCAAGAGGACAGTTGTGATAAATCTCGGTTTAATTACAGCTGCCAGTTTTTACAAGTGTCCCCTTTAATAAAATGAAAAGTCAATGGGTCGTCATCACCACCTGAAGGAAACAAATATGGGTGCTTTAGTCCAGTGGTGTACGTAACTAGTGTCTGCATTTCAGACTTGTTGTCCTTTTTATTCAAATGCAGCATAACAGGAAGTAAATAATATCCTACCTATCCTAAATAGAGTTTAGGATTTCTTCTTTTTCATTTCCCCAGTGTTTTGATGTGACACTCACATGGAGTGACTTTGTCACCTTTAATATTGATGTATAATTAGGCACCAAAAAGAAATATGATGTAGTGCTTCCTTTTGCCAGAGATCTTTCTTTAGTCCTAAAATCCCAGGCAATTGGTCGAACCCTGAAACATTACATGGTGTTTCCGTCAACCAGTCATCTCAAACTGTACTAAACAGATTCAAAAATCATTAAAACAGAAATAATGGGAGGAGATAAAAAATTGATTCCAATTCTATAATCTCTTCCTTTTCTATAGGATCTAAGAGGTAAATGTTTATGGAAGTTCTCATAAGTTTGAGCAGTGCAGCCAGAATAATCTGATCAAAATCTCTAATATCCAATAGTGGAGTCATCAAAATGGATAAAGAAATAAAAATTCCATTATATTTCACTGTGATCTGGAAATATTCAGCTCCCCTTAAAAACGCATCTGCCATCAACCTCATATTAGATAGCCTGTCTAAACCATATGACTACCAAGCAGGACCAAATGGAGTCCTTCCTACCCACGGGCGCATTGGTCCCCCCGGCCCCCAGTCTAGCTGTTCAAAACTAAGCTCGGGACAGGTGCCATGAGTCATCTTTAAAGCAAAATCTTTCAACACCTCTTAGAAACTTGTATCTGCCAGCCATGCTACAATTGATTCAAACTGAAGACTATTGAGTACACCCATAATTAGTAGTTTCCTAGTCTTAACATACCCTGTGTCTTCATAAATTTTCTTTCGGTTGATGACAGGCTTCAATGGCTGAGAATAGTATACCTCTATACACTACCGCTTCCATGGGAAATCCCACTCTGGGCAACTTAGCCAGCGCAATACGGGAAGAGCTGAACGGGGCAATGGAGCATACCAACAGCAACGAGAGTGACAGCAGTCCAGGCAGATCTCCTATGCAAGCCGTGTGAGTATCGTCCACCCAAAAGGTCTTTGCTGTCAGACCCTAGTCTCCCTGTGTGCACACAGCCTCTCTCTGGGCTTTATATACCTTTTCGGTGATTTCCAGTTTCCCAAAACCAAGCTAGAAGTTTGTACATCGAGAAATGTTCAGCGTGGTTAGTGCATAAAAGGACTATTTGCTAATTTTCCCGTAAAAGCAATTCACAGCAATAAAATGGGTAGTGGGTTTACTTTTTTCCTCTGCTTTATCATTGCAGGCCATTACTTAAGCCACACTTCTTTTTCCTCCTCAAATTAATATACATCCCTATGAAAAAGTTGGCAGTTTGTTCAACATTCGGGCGTGCTGAACGTAACCGAGAGAAAAAGATGCCTGTTTACTCGGTGGTGCTATAAGGTTAACCACGAACACGCCGCCGCAGCATTATTACCAACCATTAATGACGGCACAAATGAAAGGCGGCGTGATTTATAGATTGCTCTTAAAATATCAAAAGGAAAATTAATAGAAGCATGATGGCAGCAGACGGCAGTATAATGAGCGCACATATAACTGAATGAAGTGATGGGCGATGGTTGCCCATGCTGAATGTGAATGGCACCAGGACTGTAAACCACAGGAACGGCAGAGGCCAGGGGACTGTGACGGCCCTGTGAGCGGGTGATGGGAGAAAAGTTGTTGTAACTAGACACCCCTCTCTCCCAGGAAAAGTTTTCAAACAGAGGGAAGAAACTACATTCGTCCAAATGATTGGCCTTGCTGGAAATGCTGTGAAATGACAGTCTCTCCCTTTTAGTGAGTTTCTTGAAAACTGTCTTCCATTCTAAGGAACTAACCCACTTCATGTCTGCAATATTGTCGGTTTCTAGAATAGGCTGCATGTCTACACATTGCTTCTGAATTACTGACCAACGTCTTATGTTAATATAAGTAATAGGAATGGAAAATATGACCTGTAACAATTAGGAACAGACAAAATGGGCATCTAATTACAAAGAAAAAAGTGTTATCCGCCAGCATGATTTGGAGGGGATGGGGGAATCTGAAATTTCATTTTCTAGCATTTGAATTTCATCCCTACAGTACTTCAAAAAGGATCTTTACTGTTCTTTGCAGAAATGGAAATAATCATTTTTAATTTATATGAACAGTATCTTAGCATTTACTTCACAGCGTTTTAAGAATGTGTTTATCTTTCACACTGATGCTGCTATATTTCATCCTTTCCAAAGCAAGTTAGTGTTTCCGACTTTCTCGTTATCACACTTGTATTCATCTGAAATCATTGTCATGACAGGAGTATTTACTTAGATACTAAGGAAGTTCAGAGCAAATGTAAATTGGCATATAAGCTACTACAAGAAATACTCATTAGAGCAAAACCGAAGTTATTGAATGGAAGTGATACTATTTCTCATAATCTGTACAAACTCCCAAAGTTTTGTTGACATATATTCCTATTTAGTATAAAGAATCACTGAAACAAAACAAAAAGATATTTGGATACAAGCCACAGGCACCAGTTCAGAGTGATACTGATTTTGCTGTACAAAAGAACATCACTGCAGGCTTAATTAGTTTAACAAATTTGAATTAACCTCAGTATTACCCAAACCATATTTTACAACAGTCTGTGATTTTTGATGAAATGAAGGTTTCGACTATTTTTTAAAAGAAACCCTAGGCAAAGATGTCAAAATGTGTTGCTCAAATCTCACAGGTTTGTGCTGTTTGCTAAATGTGATTATATGTCAACAGCAGATTCCCTGAGCCTGCTATCCGTGTCATAGACTGTTACTCTTTCTGACCTCATACTTCCATTAAGGGACTTCTGTAATGACAAGAGTTTCCATTCTTGTCCAGTATGCATTACCCTGCTATGATGCAAATTGTTTTTCAACTGTTCAGTCTGTTGGAATAAATCAAGCCGTAAACTTTACGGCACGGTTTGAAGGGCCTTGTTAGGAAGGCAGCCTAGCTGATAGTGAGTGTTGAAACAGAACTCTTCATTCTTAACCTCTCTGTGACACTCAGATACCACTACATTTCCTTCCTCCTTTGAAACACTAGAAAGTGGTCACATAATTATGGTTTTGGGGCATTATACTTTTATCCTGATAGGCGCTAAAGCAAAATACTCCATGCTGTGCATACACCCCCAGAACACAATGCCTTTAAACACTAGTCAGCTTTATTTTAAAACTCTTGTGTTCCCAGAGTGGCAAAACAAAGGAATTACTCAGATGTAAGGAGAAGGGAAATGTGTGGTTGTGCGCACAGTTATTCATTGGTAGCCCTTTCGGAAATGGGAGTTGGGGAGAAAGAGTGGGGGCAGTGTCTGCAAGGAGAGGAAGGTGCATTGTACAGCCCTAACTTCTAGGAGACACGGTGAGCATATGTGAAGCCTAGTGTCTCAGATAGTCTGCATCTCATCTGAAATGGATCTTTCATGGAATCCCATCTTTTATTCCTTGAAGCACTGCATGCCTGTGCTCCACCTTTTTGCGACACCCCAGGGGTATCTGCCAGTACTAGAAAGTGTCCTGAAATTGGATTTCATTTCTCTGGAGTTTAGAAACCTTACTGTCTAACCTGGTTGTGTCACCAGGTGGTCACACGGTAGATCTAGCTAGTTAACATTTGTTGGGGACCCACTCTGATGAGGCACTGGGAGTTGACCCAGCAGGGATGACAGGGTCATTACCTCTGTCTTCAGGATAGTAAATAATCCTAATAAATTTCGGCTACAATTTAGGGAGAAAACTTTTTTTTTTTTACTTCTATAGCTTCTAAAATCAATATATCATACCTGTACAGATGGGGGGGGGGGCATTTGTTATTTTGATACATGTATACAATGTGAAATGATGAAATGAGGATAACTGGGTAAACAGAAGATTCTCTGATGTTGTGAACTGTGTTTTGTGGGGCTTTACATGTATCTGATTTTTGGAGTAAGATTAACAAAATATTTGTCAAAGTCTAAAATTACACAGCAAGAACGTCATTGAGATGGAGATGGTTCTATTTCTTCTAGGGGGTCCCCCATCCTCCCTCTCCCTCCCCAAAGTCTTATATGATCTTACATTCTTATATCATTCAGTTCTGGATTGTAAATCTGAAAAGATTAATAGAGCTGATAAGAAAGTAGGAAAATGTTGATTTGGAAAACAACATTTGAACCTCAATAATATAGCTAAAACACAAATTTCGGTAATTCATAAAAGTTGCAGTTCTCAGCAATAAAAGTTTGAAAATGAAACATTAAGAAATGTTCACCATTGTCAGTAATTCAAGAAACACCATCTAAGGTAACCTGAGCTTACCTTATACCTGCTAAGCAACAAAGTATTTTTTAAAAATAATGCTTGCAGCTGATGAGATTGAGCTTAAATTGATAGCCCCTTTGGAAGTTAATATCACAATAAATCATAAGAACCATAAAGATGTTTTGGCCTTTGCTCTAACAATTCCATTCTTAGAAATTTATCCTAAGGAGGTGAATCAACAGAAGTAAGAAGATTAATGGATAAAAATGGTCATTGCATTATAAAAACAGTAAAAGGAAAAAAAAGATGATCCTAAAATGCCTAGTATTAAGAAACTGACATATTTCAACACAGTGGAATCTCATCTAGCCATAAACATTATAAACTGTAAAGCTAAGAAAATAAAAAAATACTATTCCTGCTGAGTTTACAGTATTTTAAAATATGACTCCAAATAGAGATTGGCTAAAATAAGAAAACTGGCCTTAATTAAGGGTTTGTGTTTTTTTAAGGAGTAATAATCAGTATACCTAATTCGTCCTAAAAGAATGTAGAGTATCCTAGCAAGGCTCGTTCTGTGACATGCAGTCACACAGGATCTCGTGCCTAAAAGGACACTACACTTGATTTTATGTGTTCTTTTTATTACCTTATTTTATTTAGAGACGGGGTTCTTGCTGTATTGCCTAGGCTAGACTCAAACTCCTGGGCTCCGGTGATCATCCTGCCCTAGCCTCCCAAGGAACTTGGACTACAGGCACACACCACCACACCTGGCATGCACTTGCTTTAATGGCATTTCTGTCCTGAAATTTTAATTTTGAGCCAAGGACATCAGATTTCATTTTGCACTGGCCTTTGCAAATTATGCAGCCAGTCCTAATTCTTACTGCAGAAACGCTAATATGGCCATTAAAAAAAAATCCCCATCCCTAATATTTAATACAGACTGATAGGAGGGTGACTCCCCTTGCAGCCTTCCTCGCACAGATATACAACTGTTTCCCGTAAATAAAAGTATCGGGCCAGGCATGGTGGCTCACGCCTGTAATCCCAGCACTTTGGGGAAGCCAAGGTGGGTGGATCACTTGCAGTCAGGAGTTCGAGACCAGCCTCACCAAAATGGTGAAATCCCATCTTTACTAAAAATACAAGAATTCGCCAGGCGTGGTGGTGGGCCTCTGTAAATCCCAGCTATTTGCAAGGCTGAGCCAAGAGAATTACTTGAGCCTGTGAGGTGGAGGTTGCAGTAAGCAGAGATCCTGCCACTGCACTCCAGCCTGGGTGACAGAGCACAACTCTATGTCAAAAAATAAATAAATAAATAAAATAGATGCAGAGCCATACATAAAATGTAATGTAATGCAACTTTGCTATATTTTGTTTTGCAAATCAAATAGTTTTTATGAATAAAAGCATTATTTTTTAAGCTATTTATCTATCATCATCTAGCCCCCCCTCCAAATGCTCTCTAAGCTGTGCTGATTTTAGAGTCAATTGATTCTGAAGGTTCCTGTCTTCAAGGGCAGTCCAAAGCACTCCTCTGTTTGTTTTTAAATGGTTCAAGGGGCCTTTGGGGTTTGCATACAGCATCAATTATTTAGGAAGCCAACCATCCCCATTACCACCTCCTATTACTAATACTTGATAATGTCAATTTAAAAATCTTCCCTTCTGCAGCCTGTCCCAGAGATGGGACTGTTTTTAACTTGAATGGTTTTTTACATATCAAAAGCCCCTGCAAGACAAAGTCATTTGTATTTGCAAAGAATCAGTTGTAAATATGATTTACGAACAACACTTCTCAGTTGTTATCCGAGTAGTTTTGTGTGATCACCCCAGTTCCCCTCCGGGTGAACCACGGTCTGGTCCATAATTAGAAAGTTGGCAGATCTCACCGCAACCTCGAGCATCCCAGTGGCTGCTACCAGCCGGGCCTCATGTTTTGCCTTGTTTACAGCTGACAGTGTTATTATTCTGATCGTGGCTCTGCTTTCTTATCATATTGTTGTGTTGAGCGAGCCTTTTCCTCTCCGTTTGTGTTTCCTGGCAGGGCTTTTCTTGCCTTATTGACAGTTTGTAAAAATATGCATTAATTTGGAGTTTCAAGCATGTATCATGGTGTCTCTTTGCTGTGTTTGCTTGAAGTTGATTAATGATAGAACCTCGCTTGGGGTCGTCCTCTGGAGAGTTCTTTCACAGGTTCTGCATGTTAACTAGCAAAGCAGAACACACAGCAAGCCATGATTAGCCCAGCCTCCTGTGCTCAGTGGTCCCCACAAACTGCCGTTGCATTAGAGATTCTTGTTTCATGTAATTATTTGAAGATCGGTATTCATCCACCCAGGATGCCACTACGGGGCCTGTTATCTGGTACTCAAAGTGTGGTTCTAGGACCCACAGCATCACCTGGGAGCTTGTTAGAGATGCAGAGTCCCAGGCCCCACCCCAGACCCGAATCACACAATGCATTTCAGCAAGGCCCCCAGGTGACTACAACCTTAAAGGTGCATTAAAGTATGAGAAATGCCACCAGAAAGGAGAGGCCTGTACCTGTCTAGAGATTCGTCATTCAGAGCAGCACTACCCAGAAGAACTTCCTGCAGTGATGGAAATGTTCTGTCTCTGTGCTGTCCAGAATGGTAACCGCTAGTCACATGGAGCCTCTGAACATGTAAATTTTGGCCAGCACAACTTAGAAACTGACTTAAATTGTATGTTAAGATTTCATTCCTTTTAAAGAGCCACGCGTGGCTAATGGCCACTATACTGGACAGTACAGTTGTAGTTCTAGAGTGTGGCTTTCCTGTTGCCCCAAACTTTTAAGTGCCCCTGGGCTGCAATGGGCTGGAAAGTGCCCACACTGAACCTCTGCTTATTTTTTCCAGGCATCCTGTACACGTCAAAGAAGAGCCACTCGACCCAGAGGAAGCTGAAGGGCCTCTGTCCTTAGTGACAACAGCCAACCACAGTCCAGATTTTGACCATGACAGAGATTACGAAGACGAACCAGTAAATGAGGACATGGAGTGAATATCGGGGTGGGCCAACCCTGAGAATGAAGATTGGGAAAAGGAAAAAAAAAAACAACAACACACACACACGTCAAAAGTTAGCAGTGAAATTGTTCTCCATTTGTTGTACAGTCTGGAGGATTTTCACTACATTTTGACAACTCTGAAATGTGTTAACTCTTAGTGCCATCAAGAACCCCATTTGGGAGTATTTTTGATTTTTCTACTTTTTGTTGAAAAAAGGAATTTGTACTCTGTGCATTGGATGGACTTGTTTGGTACTTGGGATTTTCCTCTCTTAACCGTCAACATCAGTGTTGTAAATTTGCTAAACTGATTCACTTTTAGCAGCAGACTTTGAACTGCAGTCCTGCCAACGTTGGACACTGAGGACGCCCGACGGAGCTTGTGCACCTAAGCTGCAGACCAAGCCTTTGCCCAGAATTTAAGGATTCCAATGGACGACCTATTTGCACAGTACTGCATGTTGATTATCACTGCCTTTACTCCATTTCTTTTTTTTTTTTTTTTTTTTTTTTTTTGCTTCCAGTTGGGATGGGGAAGGCCTTTGTGTGTGTATTGGGGGGAGGGGTTAAAAAATAATTATCCCAAACTTTTTAATGTATTGCTTTTTTTTTTTTTTTCTTCTACTATACCATTTTAAGTTCTGACCTCAGGCCTCCATTTGGGCCGATGGCCTCTTGGAGGCTTAAAGTTTTCTGTACCTTGTGATGAATGTTAATAGGTGTTTTTATTATACAAAGCTGAATGTCATTTCTTGTTTGTAGCTTTCTGTCACTCATTCCATCTTCCTTCAGACATCACCGTTTCTCTAAAAGTCAGAAAACATTCCGTTTTGGTCTTTTTCAAAAAGGTCCCAAATGCTGCACTCTACACATGAAGGCCCTCTCACACAGACGTGACGTCCTGCCAGAAAGAGAATGAATGACAGAAAAAAAGAGACAGACAAACTCTAGGAACAATGCTGATTCCTTCCACGCAGCAGTATTGGGGGTGGTTGGGGGGAGGGATGTTTCGGATTTTCCTTTTTTTTCCTTTTTGCAGCAACCATCATTCTTAATAAATGCCACCACATTCTACCAGCACAAGGAAACATAGGTAGCACCGAAAAAAAAAAAAAGCTCATACTAATTAGACTGATGGTATGGCCGTGGAAGGCTCTCCCTCGTGGAACCCATTTGTCATGGGCCGTCGGAGCTCTGTGATAATGAGTGTGGGTTGGTTTTGTTTGCAAATTGGCCAAAAACCTGGTCCTGGTGGCGGCAGCGCCGAGTTTATACATTAGTTCAGACCTGCTTGGTGGCATTAAACTGTTCGCATGCAAAATCCATTTCAGATTGAACTTCTTAAGAGAGTTAATGAGGACTGAGTTCAGCAAATGCTAAAGTGTTCATTTCAAATATGCAAATTTGGTACTGCAGTTTGTTATGCAATATTATATCGCCAACCCAGTATCAGAAACTCATAGAAGGTATCATGTAGGTCCTGGGCTTTGGGAGTTCCCACACATGGTATGCAGAATGTGATGGTTATAGGTCAGTACAACCTCAGTCCTTAGAACCCCTCTACACTTCCACTCTGCACCCACTTTTCCTGTCATTTATTTATCTAGGACTGTAGCTTTTTTTTTAGTTCGAGAGCCTTTCAAAGCTTAATTTATATTCTTTGTACCTTTTTTTTCTAAAATTACCAAAGATATTACACAAAGGTAAATTATGTTCTCTATTTTATGCTTTATCTGATGAAGCCAAATATCCTCTTATTGTTGATCAAAGGAGGCAAAAGAATTTAGAGGCAAATGACAAGCGATAGGCTATTGCAACCTGAGAAAGAGAACTGCTCCTTCATCATAGAGTAAATTTAGAAGACCAAGTAGAAATGGAACCAAAGTTGTTACTTTTTACTAGTAGTTATTTTTCTTTTTTCTTTTTGTGTACCTCTACAGAGACCAAAACTCATTTCTCTTAAAGAGATTTTATGGGGCTACTGCAGATAAAAATAGGACACAATATTAAAGGAGCTACAGAAGGAAGGGAGTCCCATCTCAGAAAAAATGAATGTATGCCACTGCAATTAGAGTATCCAATAAAGGAGACAGTTTAGAGTCAGAACAGAAAAGCTTCCATAAGTGAACTAGATCACATAATAGCATTTCTAGAAAAAAAAGATATTTTTAGATTGTATGCCACTTTTGTTTAAGAACTGTGCTGTGATCACTATATTAATTTTGGTTAATCTTGGCGTATATCCTTCAGTTTGTTTTTATTTTTAATTTTTCCTTCCTTCCTTTTCCAATTAGGCTTTGGTCAGCATTTTTCATTTAAAGAAAAGTAACACTCCCATCCACTCATAAGCTTGGTACAAAAACTTCTCTGGCAGTTACTTTTGAAGCTTCACTCTGCTTTCTGTATAAAGGGCAGTCTGTGGTCACGCAAGACTTTAAAAAAAAAAAAAAAAAAAAAAAAAAAAAAAACTTTTCCAGGCAGCTTCATGATGTGCAGGCAATAGCCAGACAGGGTCATGGGAAGGGGGCCCTGTGCTTCTAAACTGAGTGGTTGCTGGTTAGTTTGGTATTCAAAAGAGGATAAAAATCTGGTAGATTAGTTCATTCTCAGCATGTGTAGCTAGACATGAGTAAAGATAACAGCATGAGAAACTGTTAGTACGCATACCTCAGTTCAAACCTTTAGGGAATGATTAAAATTAAAAAAAAATACATTTCACTCAGTTGCACTTAGTTGTATGTCTTGCATGCTTAGTCTAAAGACTGTAGCAAAAAAAAAAAAAAAAAAAAGAATTAGATTTTACATATCTTTGCAGGTATCACAGCCTTGCAGAAGAACCAACTGAAAAAAAAAAATATTCTCAGGCTTTACAGCAAGCAAACTTCACTATGATTTTTACAGTTCTGATTCTGTATCCCCTGGGGGTTATCCCAGTTGCTTCTTTAGGATGGGGTTTATTATGTTGTACATATATCCCGATGTGTCTGTGTGAATCTTTGTCTTTTTTGGGGGAGGGCGGAGGGCGGTTCTTTTTTTAGATATTGTTCCTAAAAAGGAATAAATGCATACACCTGTTTGTCAAAACACCTTTGCTTTTTGTGCAACTGCTTTATATTAACGATACTAAAAAAAAATAGCTTTGGAAAAAAAAACTACTGTATGTAATGGAATTGCAGAATATGCTGCACATGTATTTTATTTAGTTATCCTTGCTTTAAGATTTTGGATGACATTTCCTGACATGTGGGAGGGAGAAACTCCCTTTTTTTTCTGCTTTTAAATTGTAACATAGTTGAAGATTTTTTTTTTTCCTGTTCTCATTGATTGGAGCATTTTGTACAGGTTTTTTTGTGTGCGTGCGTGCGTGTGTGCGTGTTAATCTGTTTTTTGATACGTTCCTGTCCCTTCTGTTTATCCTACCACTGCCTTCCTGGCTATCTTAAACAAGTTCATACATTTGAAAAGAAAAAAAAATATGTTGTTTAAAAACTGTTTTCTCCTGCTGCAGTAAATATTTTGCATGATGAAATTCCAGGGTCACACTTTCAAAGTTTATCAGTGAAGTAGTGATTAACAATGGGGAGTGAACTTTTGTATTAAAAAAAAAAAACTTTACAAGGTGCCAAGATGTAAAGAAAATCTATAACTTTTTTTTCCTCAAAGAAAAGCGTACATTAGGGAGGTAGTCCTGTGTGTCAGACAAATGCACTGTCAGGAATGAGGGTCGAACCAACCTGTCCTAGAGTCTGTCTTGTAAGATGAGTTAGGCTGCCACCTTGGACCAGCAGCAAAATGGATTATCAAGGCTTATGTACATACATGAAGAGTTACCGCCATTCCTGCCACCTTTGGACAGCTCAAACAGCATCCCCAGAATCCCGTCAGACCTAGAAAAGAAAACTTTGGATTCTTAACCCAAGATATGCTCTAAATCATTAGCTTTTTTTTTCCACTCACACACAGAAAAAGAGTTAAAAAAATATTTCCTCTCTTTCCACATTCCAGCTGAGCTCTGTTTCCAAAGGCACAAAGAAGAGTGTGCTTATTTGGATTTTGAATCTTTTGGTACCCTTTGGGTAATGACGTAGCCTTCTGAGATTTTGGATGTGTTCAAAGTCAGTTTTGCTTTTTCATCCTGAGAATCAGATTTACAATGCTGAAGGCATTTGTTGGGCCTAGTGTAGCTCATGCAATCTCTGCTACCCATAAGCCTTGATGAAGATGATAGAGTCCGGACTGTGAGCATGGTGCTTCGTGTATATGTGCTGCCAGTAACAAGAATTTTTTTGCTTTGTTTTGTTTTGATAAGGCATAAAAGAAACTCATTCCTTGACATCAACTGTAATTCCATCATTCCATGTCTGCGGATACAGACAATAAAAAAAATGTTGTGTAGTCAGTACTAATTACTGACATTATAGCATTCTCAAATGCAATAAAAATGCTGGTTGTTGACACTGGTAGTAAAAGTCGCCACAGCCTAAGTTTCTTTTCCCTTCTGACCTGCCGATACTGTATATGTCAGGCATATGCCTTAGATTTCTCACCAGCTGCTTCCAATGCAGAATTAAAAATCAATCTTAACTGAAAGCTTTCATCATCAGGGAAGGCTGAAGCTCTTATCCTCAGGATTTCCAAGTGAAAGTATCCACTTAGAGAATTGGGAATTAAAAAAAAAAAAAAAGCTATCTTTTGAGGAAGCTACACCCTTATTTTTTTCATCAAATTTTATAAAGAAAACAAAATGTTTAATAACTAGCATTAAGAGCAAACTAAAATTTCAGAGGAAAGCAATTCATGAATAATTCATTAAAATTTCACATCTGCAAGATTAGTCATCCAAATAAAATGCTAATGTCAAAAACATGCACCGTCTATAATATTCTCATCAAGAAATCTTTTTGCATATAATGATAAATGCTTAGATTAGAACAAATGATTTTATTAAAATATTCTATCAAAAGTATGCCGGATAATTGTATTCATTGAAGAAAACAGAACTTCACTACCTAAATATTCCAGAAAAGCCATCTTGAGATTTTTTTTTTTTTAAATGACATGCATTTAGGAAATTTGCTATTTCTTTTTAATATTACTCTACAGTATATATTCTAGGGATTAATGAATTTGAGCATCATCTTTCAGTAAAAATTAAATTGCCAATATGAAAGCAGTATTTTAAGTGGCCAAACCATGGTAACATAAAACCATTACATATATAATTCAGAGCACATAATGCAGGGCAAAGGATGACTTGAAAATTAACCTTGCAGTCTTTATTCTGCAAAACACCCACGGACGCTGAGGAAGATGTGAACATTCTTTCCCAGCATTGTTTTGAAAAGCCTGTATTGGAAAATGTGTGTGTGTGTGTGTGTGTGTGTGTGTGTGTGTGTGTGTGTGTGTGTGTGTGTTTTTTTAACAAGATTTTGGTATTAAGTTGGAAAGTAGTGTCCTCTTGAATTAACAGTTACGCCCTATCTAGAAACCCCTTAGTCTGATCATTAGCAAAACATTTGAACCTTTAATTCTTACCTGGCTACTGAGACTATTTTCTTAGGGTTAATTCAAATTTCTTTAATTACCAGGCATAAACCTAAATGCTGTTTATGGCATATACATTTAGTAAAATTTTTAAGTGGGCAGATATTTCTTTTAATGAACTGGAGGACCCAAACTACGTATGGCAGTATGCTAGTGAAGATTTTGCTGGTTGATGCATAGTACATTTTAACTTATATTTCAGGAATTGTTCTCAAGCGGGAACACTCTTTTACATATTTATTTCAGGCTTGTCACTCTCATAAACGAGGCAGCAAACCCAAAATATTGGCTCTTCTTATAAATAGGCGCCTTTATATAAAGAACATAAAACTCTTAAGACTAATTTCACACCAACACAGGCAGCTCCGTAATAGGAACCACCTCTCCCTCCCCCACCAAAAAAAAGATAAAGTATAATTAGTCTTTCTTATTAGATTTTGTCTTTGATTATATTACATATTTATGTGTAGGGTAGTGATCACAATTTATCTTTCATCTTCATTGTAGTTGAATAAAAGTATTCCTTATTTAAATAATGTGAAGTTGGGTCTCAAACCTTCATTTAAGAAATTAATGAAAGGTTTAAGACAAAATTCACATTGGAGGAAAATTAAGTTACATACAAAAACACTGGTTTTAACTGTGGGACAATATTTCGATTAGAAAACCATCTCTAGATAGAACCTACTTATATTTATTTTTAAACAGTATTTTATTTTTTAAAATAACAAAACCCAGTGTCGTCTTATTTCCACTTTGATTGTAAAATGACATTCAATGCTTAATACCTATATATATACATATATATACATTTGAAATTATCAATGGTTCTTTTTTTTGGTTTATATTGAAAATATTGTGAGGGGGAAAAAGACATGCTTCAAGTTATAATGTTAATTTGAAGGTAACCGGCCTTTTAAGAATTAATTTCAGCCAAAGCAATAATCATTATTTACCAGCGTGTGACATTTTTATCACTCATCATATTAGCAAATTTCCATTGAAAATGCTAAAATGGTTCGTCATAAGGCAGATAACTGCTCGAGCTGTAAAAATGACCAACACAAGTGCCGGTACTCAAACATTAAATTATCCTGTAATTAATAAAGACAGTTAAACTGTCTACTAGCAACAGCAATTTAGGTAACCACATTTGATCAGCTATAAATTGTAACTACATTAAAATTCCAGAAATATTAGCAATATGGATTACTTGATAGGAGTCGGTGCTGATCACCCTTTCTTTTTTTTCTTTCTTTCTTTTTTTTTTTTTTTTTTTTTTTTAAACAACGGAAGCACAGGTCATGTTGACCACAAATCCGTGGACGAAGATCAGGCCTGAGCACTTTTAATCTTGTGAAACAAGCAATTACAAATAGTTGCATCGATTTGTTAAAAAGCTTTAGGTGACATAAATTGTTTCCTGTTTAGGTTATTGCTCCGATACATAAATGTCACCAAACCCAGTATTAATTAGGACCATAGGACAGCACAGGGTGGCTGATATGGCATCCAATCAAGAATTTGTTAGTCCTTTGCGAAAGTTCTCAAGGGCTGCTCTCACTGGCTCGTTTCTCATTAGGGAGAGTGGGAGAAAGGAAAAAACTGGTTTGTTATGCGAAGTCTTTAATACCAGCTTGATTTTGGGTTTTAAACCAAATTGCAGGATTTCAGACTTGATTTCTTACCATTTGACATAAAAACGCCCCATTTTTAAAATATCTTCTAAATAGAATAATATTTGCAAGGCATTTCAGTCCCTGAAAAGCTAACACTTTTTCCCCTTTTCAATATATGTTTCCTTGGGTTTATATTTCTACACTTAAAATACAATTTTAAATGGCTTTTGCATGCTATTGACTTAACATAAATCAAATGTATCATATACACTTTCTTTAGGTTGGCATGCCACTTAGAAAAATATGTGAGATTCTGGAGGAAAAAAGTCTGCAGAAAATTTATTAAATAGAAGTTTTTACTGTAATAGAATATTAACATAAGCCAATGCTCTTTTGCCATTAAGCTGATTTTTTTTTAACATACACATGCTTTTTATTATTTTGCACTCAAGCAAAAATTCCACAAAGACTTTCCATCTAGTGGGGAATGTCTCTGGCAAGAAACATGTCAAGAAATCATGACCTCCCCAAAACAGCAGACATCATCGGCACTGAGCATTCACCCCACTGGGCAGGGAACACAGGCCCACTCTCCCCAAAACGTAAGGTAGATGCTGGTCACCAGTATGCAAGAGGCAGAAACAATTACTCTTGAAATCCTTCCTCACTGCTTCTCCACCAGCGCACAGAGGAAAAATGTTTGATTTGCAACATAAAAGATTCATTAATTACCACTTGAATATTTAAAGCTAGTTTGCAGTCTAACAGAGATAGATACAGCAGTGAATTAAAACCTCTAATAAAATTGTAAAAATATTTCAGTAAGTTTACCCGTGTTATGATTTCAGAAGAGATTCAAGCATTCTCATGGAATCGAGTCTTAGCATTTTTCAAGTGTGTATTTGAAGGAAGGAGCTAAGTGTTTGGGGAATAATTTGTTTCACATTTTCAAATGTTTACTAATAATTTATTTTTAAATCAAGCTTCCTACTTTAGGACTCTATGGATACAAAAAGAAATCTGCCACGTAGGTGAGAGCATTATTTGTCTCACCAGAAATTTAAATTCTTTAGAAATACTCAGCTGGCTGTATAAAAGAAAACTTCAGATGTACCCCCTGAATTAAAAAACAGAAGTTTTTAAAAGTATTCAGCTGGGCTGAAGGTTTAGAAGCCCTATACCTAAAGTAGTGATTTCCTTTCCACAAAATGCATCACATCTAAAAACACTCACCTCAAGAACACAGCCTTGCAGCCCCTCCCACACCCTCACAGCTCTTTCTTTCAATGGATCCATGATCCATTCAGTGTTTGGATCCAGGTATCCTGGAAGTAGACCGTGCCTGGCACACTCTGAAATCAAACGCTAAAGAATCCAAATACCAGGCTAACCAGTGCCAGCCCTAACCAAAAGAAACCAGGTGACTTTAGCAAAGTCACTTCATCTCTTTGGTCCTCAGCTTCCTCTGTTAATTGAGGACATTTAACTAAATGATGAAAAGGGTTCCTTCCAATTTTAAAGTTCTAAAATTTTAATAACATATTCTCCCTTGGGGACTTGTCTTGATGAAATCCATGGGCTCAGCATAAGAGTCGGGTGGCACTGCATATTTCAGGCAATATTCTGAGATAGTCTTGTCAAATCCTGCCTTGTAACTTGCCCTGTCGGACGGAAATTTCACTAGCATGCATGTTTCTACCCACTTATCTATCATCCATCCATCTACTCACCCACAAATAAGCATTAAAGGCATTACATGACTGGTAGCTCGGAATAAGACACAGCCTTGGCTTCGTCGTGCCTAATTGTTCACCTGGGAAGAGTTTTAGTGCATGCAGTGCCAATGAGAGGGCAAGTACAGAAATACACAGGAAAACCACCTGCTTCCACTGGGGACCATCAGGGAAGCTCCCTGTAATACACAAGGTTTTAGTGAAACCCAAAAGATGCCTAAGCCTCTGCCAGCTAGAGGAAGGCAGGGAAAGTTCTAAGCAGAGGGACGAGCGATCTGGCAGGACCTGGGGTATAAGAGGCGTGAGTCTTTCTGAGCAGAGGGAGGCAAAAAACATCATAAAAAGATGCTGAATAAAGTCATCATTGCAGTTACCATCTAATAATAGTTAATACCTCCGACTGCTTTATTTGGTCTAGCTCAGTCATTCCTCAGGAGGTGCTACTAAAATCAGCTCTACTTTCAGATTAGGAAACTGAGGCACAGCGAGGTCAAGAGACCAGCCCAACTCCTCCAGACCTCTTCTTTGGCCACACTGGTCGTCTTGCCTTTGTGGGCTGATGGATTT